GCAATTCAACTCGCAGACTAAAAAATGATGCAGGTAACCCAGTGACAAAGTTCCGAAGATACGTATGTAATTGATCAAATAAGCTGACCTTACATCATGCAGCAGTGGTGCGCCTATTACTCTACGAGGCTGGCGTGACGATGAACAAGAATGTGTGCAGAACATGTACGCAAGGCTTTTTCAACGACCGCTCTCCATCTGTTTGATCAAATATGTCGCGAAATTGTAAATTGAGCTGGTTACGTAATTTACGCCTGAGAATATGTTTACTGCACATGGAGGACACATGATATTTGTGTTGAATGTGAGATTTATACCACAAGTTGAACAAGTCACACCAACATGGTCGTCGGAACAACAACAACAACAGTAACGAATCAGTGATCGGGACGTGTTGAACTGTTGCTCATTCAAATACGACAGCTTTAAGTTCAGTTTGAGTCCAACAGAGATCACGTATTTCGGTCACAAAAATAACATGAATGGATAACAACAGATCTCAGATGCCTCACTCGTTACACAAAAACCTAGACAACATGCCTCCCTTATTTTCAGCAACTATTGACGGAGATCAGACATAATTTTAGCATTTACCCAGAGCACCTAGTCATTGTGTGACTGTCATTGAGACTAGTCGAAGAACAATCAATGCGAAATCCTATGCGGTGTCACTTCTCAACAGATCATGCTGGTGTTAACGATTGTACATCTCGGAGAGAAGACTTATGACGTAATCCAACATTCGAACTGTACACCTTTGATGCACCTGCGTTTCCAGCTGACTCAGTGATGCTATTTTAACTAACAGCTTGTTGTGGTTGCTAATTTCCATATTTACTGGGCGAAAACCATTTGGATTGACGATAAGCAATTTGTTCCAAAATGAGAACTCTAATCCACCAGACCAGTTCATGCTTGTCGATCTAATCGTCTAGACCTGTATTCACGAGTCCCCAGGTAGAATGAGATGCAATGAGACGACCTGATTTTCCTGAACGGTGCTCCGATGACCACTCATTTTCGATCCTCGTCACCCGCTCTCCGATGAGTGTCGATATTCTGTGTCAAGCGGAAGGTAATAACTAAAAGATATTTCGATATTTGAAAAAAATCCCGCAGTAGCCTCATCACCTTTAAATTATGGAGGTTCTATTCGCAGTTAAGGGAGTACATCAAGAGGAGTGTTGAACAAGAATGTGGCTCTGAATGCACAACAGCTGATGGGGATTCCTTGAAAGCACACATACACGCACATCGAGTGAGTGATGCATTAGTGTCACACCTCCATCGGTGACATCACAGAGTGATCAGGCAAGATAGTAGCGTTGCCATTTGAGAGAACAAAATTGAATCTCCGTTCTGCTACGAGCGATTTAAGGCTCTTCGAATCAGTCATGATGGGTGAGACCTATCGGTCTCTTCAACCTGGAAACCGTTAACTTTGGTTTGGTCAATGTCTTCAAAGTCCAAACGGTGGACTTCCCGGTTTGGTTTGTCACCAATAACCTAACTAATAACTTGCTATCAAGCTGCATTCATTACGAACCGTAACGATACGGATACCGATTCTTGCTCCCTACCAAATGTGAATGATGGGCAGACGACTATCGTACATGAATAACGGATTTGTATGGTTGCATCTCATTCCACTTTTGGAAACTTGAGCACAGTTTCCAATCGGTTAGATAGATAGATAGATAGGTGCGAACTGATCGGGTGGACCGAGGTTCTCATTTTGTCGCCTAACAGTGCGCACCTACACACATTTCCGATTCCGGATGGACAGAAATGAGACACCAAAACCCATCTTTCAAACTGAGGACATAAGGTTGCCTAGCAGACCGATTGAAATGCAATAGTGCAACTAATTTAATCCAATCGTGCTAGGTCCCTCGTGTAGGGCTAATAAGACATTGGGTTCTAACATACGAAGATCGATCGATTTCACACGTACTATTTATTCCTGCTTGGATTTGTGTCCGGACCGACGGGCTCGCTCTGCGTACCAAATGCGTGCCAGTCACAATCACATTTCACAGAACTGCGTGTCCGGGTCAAGTAATCAGGACATGTTCAAACTTGTTCCTCGAGCCCTGGGACCCTATCGGGTGACCAAAGACGGGGAAAGAGGGGGAACGGATGGCACGCAACGCCAGGCGAGAGATAGGGCGAACATCTGTCGAACAAGCGATCAGTGGGCGCGAATGGGTGACAGAAATATTCCAAATGAACTACCTACTCCCTATCTACGCACACCAATCGGGTGGAAAATGTGAGGTCTGATAATCGTGCTGCAATTCACTTGCTACACNTTCTAACTTTCAACAAGCCGAACAACCGCGTTTTCGATGCCTCCATTATCAGTGAAATACAACACTTACCCGTAGTTTAAAAAATAACATGGGTCAGTGGAATAGAATGAAAGTGGACAACGGTTGTGTGTATGCAACCGATGACAGGGACAATTGAAATCTAAAAACTGCAAAGTGCATATTCTACGACGTTCCAATCGGATTATGAATTGGTAAATCTGGTACAATAACACACAAGTCACTGATATTGAGTATTTAGATCTGCGCGGTGCGCTTTAAGAAAGAATTGCCACAAAAGTATCCAACTGGTCCTAATTCTGAATGCAACTGTTATTCACTTCTGAACTCAAACAAACTAATCGAATGTCTCCGTGTGTACAGGGAGAACAACCGTGCGTGTATCAGGTAGTTCTGATGAACTGGGTCTATTTACCAAATTCGAACGGACTGCATACAAAATAGAGCGAATTTTCCAAGCACTTGACTAATCATATCCAATTCCTGGTGCTTGGAACTGTGTGCACGTGCCAAATGGAGTAACAATTCAACAGTTTAAGCTGTTCGAGATCGATTGGCAATGTGTTTTCACTCGACAAACAGGTGCGAGTTGCCAGTTTCGTAAACTGATCACGCCCCTCCTCTCTGTCTCCAAAAAAGCTCGGATGAGTACGTTGCAATGTTACGTTCACATATTTAGCCGTCGAGACAATGAGAATTTGGGCAACTACGAAACGGTTTTGGGGTAGTCGAGACAAATAACAAACAAAAACAGGTATCCATCAAACATTGCACCGTATATGTGGACGGCAATGGTTAAGCGGTACAGAACACAACTGCAAGCACCGTGAGGTGATACGATTCCAATTTCTACTACCGTAAAATAACTTCTTCACTACCTTGTAGAACCAAATATCCCATTGATTGTGCACAACCTCGTTCCCTAAATTCACAGCTGTTCACTCAATAAAAGCGACTAAATTATTTTAGTCGAGAGACGGCCGACAGAGCACAATAAAACTGTTTCTTTCCTGATGAGACTCACCTTGCAGATGAGAGACAGAGAGAGTGAAACCCACAAAAAATAACAATAGACAAACTCTCGGTGTACGTGAATGTGTACGGAGGTCCCAAGAGGATATTTACTAAAATAAAGAACTACCGTCATGGATTTTATTCCTTCAAAAATTTACCAATTGGTGGCGGTAATTTGTTCTCCAGACGTGGATTTTGTTTTTCCCCCCACCGGACTAGGTAACAGCTTTAGTGGCACGATGAGCGTGAAGGACAGACCATTGCCACCAGTATTCCATCCAAAAACTAAAGATATCTATCAACATTTAAGAACCGTAGCTTTTCAGACATGGGCTAATACATGATGACATTGACTTTTTGATGCTCTCGACTGGAAATGTATGCCATCTCGGACCACACAACAACACATCGATCTGATTAGTCTAACGAGGACGGTTCGTAGCATAGCGATTTTAAATACGAGTTAACAATTGTCTGTACACTATCTCCGTTAGTCCGTTCACAGAATTGCATGGCTTTCGGGGTAACCAGCTCAACTCCTCGTAACTACCAGACTTAGGTCAGAGCAAACGTGTTATATTAAGCCCATAATCGTTATTCCCGTGAAAGACGACACCATCAATTGACGTAGCAGTGTCTCGAACTGGCCGTTCGTTCCACAACCTGTGAACAGACTGATCATTTTGTATCCGAAAGCGTCTGCTAGGCATTCGGAACAGTCGTGAGTTTGACCTACTTTCGAGAGAAACTAGGTCGCGCAGTCAGTACTAACCCTGTCCGACATTCCATAAAAGGCTTCGATAATGTCGTTTCATGTTGTACGGTGGAGATAAGGCAAATACACTCCACTGAACAATCAGGCATTGGAGATGGTTGAATTATTCGCAAAATCCCGCACTATGATCTAGGCAATCTACACATGCAAGTGGAAAAAATTAACTAGGTTTTAAAACAACAGGAAAGCAATATTTCTAGCACATTGTCTCACTTTGACAATCTCTGTCTGGCGCCTAGTCACAGGACGGCTAGAGACCCCGGGGTCCTAGAGTGACCACTCACTGGGGTGGAATACGGCGTGTGTGACAAAAGCAAGCAAAGCCACCGGCATCAATATTAATCGCACAATAAACTACCTTTGGTGGGAACACCTCTTGACCACCGGGAACCCGGGACACAATAACCCTTTGATCTATATCTTCAAAAGTGGGCCTCGTCCACAAAAGCGATTTGAACAGACGGAAATCATCGGTAGTTTTACTACGAATACATAAAAAGGACAAAGTAGACTAAAACCACTCGACAGTTGGATATCATAACTGAAGAACCGGTTGATGATATGAAAACGGAGTAGAAAAAGTTCAGGAATTGAAGAACTACAACTACATCCACAGTGACCATGTGTGAACGACTAGAATATAAAATGTACGATATTTCTTCAAAGTATTATGCATGACTGATGTGAAATAAGATAAGTGGGTAGAACTACAATAAGAATAAAACTTTATTTTTCGAGAAAAATAAGTGAAAAAACACAATTGAAGATAAAGGGGAAAACAGGAATATATATGTATATACATATACACAGTGAGCGGATACCAAACAGTTAGGATATAAAAACAAGTTTTTCAACTATAGGACGTGCGCGCGCGCGGTGAGCTAAACGGACGAGGTAGGCCCACTTCTTGCGGTTGCTGTTGATCTACCAACAGGGGTAACGGTTGTTTCTCCGACCGGACGGCCAATCGGTCGCGGTTTCGTCAGCGAGAACTGTGCGTCCAACGAAGTCCGATTAATGTCAACTTTAGCTGTACCGGGCGGAGGTAAGACTGATCGAGAAGTAGACTGGTGTGCAGGTTCAACAGACCCAGAACTCGACGTGGTCGAGCTGACTGATGCGACAGTTGTGTTTGCAGTTCTCACACACTCCACCCGAACCAAGGTCACTTCCTTCGGAGCACCAGATACACCGGTCAGACGCCAGCGTTCTCCGCTACCGTCAATGAGTATGGGTGAGGCTTGTATCGCGTACAATTTGTCCGTGGAAACCGAACCATTCTTTGCCTTACCCTGAACATGGCCCGGGAAATGAACGCAGAAATCACAGTGGAAATAGTCTCGCTGAAGCGGAGCTGATCGTTTGGAATAGAAAACAACTGACTGTTGATCGCGGTCGTGCATCGTGGCTACGTGTTGTGATAATGAGACACGGGCATAGTGGCCAGAAAACGGCAGTTCGGTCACAGTCAGCTCAACCTCAACCAGTGTGATTCGACGGGATAAGTGGCTCGGTCCGCGGCGACTGTGCTGTTGCACCACACCCATCACTTGAATCATATGTCCTACCTCATTACTGATTGTCAACACGTCGTCTGGATTGTTCCCCGCTTTTGGCAAAAGAACGAGGCGAACATTTGTGGTCTGGAGGCGTTGGAAAAAGAATCGAGGCCAGTGAGATGCTGTGCGAACCAAAGTCAATACCAGTCCTGGAATCCAGTCAAAATTGGCAAAGGCCACGGGCTTGAAATTCAACCGTTTTCGAGCCACAGTTTCCAAATCGGGTAAAATAGCAGAAAATGGATCGCTGTGGGACGACGCTGACGAGTGGACTTGCGATGACGTGAACGGAACTACGGCATGCTCATGGGATACGTTTTCCTGACTGGAGAAGAAAAATAGTAGAAGTGAAAGTGGACAGACAAGAAACACAAGAGACAAACCCAGTAGGGTGATAACACGTTTCATGGATACTCCGAAGGGAAATCAACAGAGCAGAGTGTTTGTTAGACACTGATTTTTTAAATATTTGGCTATAGACCGGGATGAGCCTTATTACTGACACGGTTTAGCTGTTAAACCAACCTATGCCCCGGTTAGATACACTCGGCAAGTAGTGTGACAAACAATTGCGCGGTTGCATCTGACCACGCTCTACACACAACCACTTTAGCTGCATTCTTCAGCTTTATTTTGGCAGTGCGCTCAACTTTCCATTTAATTTTATCCCAGCTTTAATGGTCAAATGAACGAAATGGGTAGCTGAAACAACGCAACCAAAACCAGAGCACGGAAGTGCCATGTTGATGGTTGTAAAATCTAAATCTGACAAGTTGCTCACAATGATTCGATCGTCAGTTACCATAGCTTACAAGGAGCTCGGGATTTTACCTCTTGTGCACTGTTCATCCCAATGAGGTGCGTAATGAAAACAAACTCGAGATAAAGTTGATGTCAGAAAAGAGATAAACAATGCTTGATGGAAAATCTAGTAATGGGATAAGCAAGTACCACCACTTAAGGACGAAAACTACAAGAAGTGCGAAAGGAGACATTTTTAGTTCGGAATGGAACGAAATATAAAATAGGAGATAAACGACAAGAACTAGAGAGGGGTTCATTGAAAATCTCAGCTATGAAACTACTGGTGACCGTGTTGGGCTCCAATAGGAACAATGTGCGACGCTGTGCAAGATCTCGTCCGGGCAATCACAACGATCACTGCAGTTCAAAAATAGATCTGTATGAATAGGCCTGACAGTACTATATCGCAGGACAGCTTGAAATAATTCGGGGACAGTTTGAAATGATTCCCGGACAACATGATATGATACTGGGACAACTTGACATGAAAAAGGTATAGACAAGTTGATCACAGCCATGCAATGACGCATTCAGTTTCTGAAAAGAATACCATTTGAGGTTTTCTATTCCTTTCCAGAATTCCTATTCTTTCATACTTTAGATCACAGTTACTTGTGCTCGACAGCGGCAGCTCTCCCTCAACCATACACTTTGAAGAAAACAGACTCGAATTTTGCCCCATAAAGTAGTGCGGAGATCAGAGGATTTACAACAGCTGCATTTCGACAAAAGAAAACTCACTCGTAAGTTTCAAATCGGCTGATGATCGTTTGTATTGTACGGATAAAGAACGCAACCAGACTGCCGATACTTTTCACATCAAAAAAGATGGTTAAAGAGAAACTGCAGGGTCACGGAAACAAAAAATATGGAATGAGATATCATGGATGATAGGGAGGGTTCTTTCAACAATTCTAACAATAATGGACAAAAAAGTTGATAAAAGAAAAAATCAGTTACAAAAGACACGTGCGGTAAGATGAACATGTCCTAAAACACCGGTTGGAGAAATCAGAGGGAAACTCATCATCAAGATAACCCGAGGGACATGTCATGGTGGTGGTGGTCGATTTCATTGGCTTTATAATACAATGACACCAGTGGGAAACAGGACGCATTGTTCTCGGCACATGCATCAGCTATACCTTTTTCAGTTTAAGATGTCCGAATATTAATTTAGGATGTCACAATATGAATTTAAGATGTCCGAGTATCAATTTAAGACGTCATGTTGCTCTGTGGATAGTACCTTGCACAGTACAGAGTGAAAACTTTCGATGGGATCCCTGTTTACTCAGATCCATGTGCATCCTATCTGCATACTGATCTATGGCCCCCAAAAATATCGTTCCACACTCAACAAAAATATGCACTGACGATTGCAAACGTTCAACCCCCATTTCACGTTGTCCGTTACCACCCCTTTTGTACCGAGAATACTTCATTCATGAGACTATGAACGTTCCTGGGGAGCACCGTTCAGTCAATTGTGAGAAATTTGGCCATCATGTGAGAGACCCCACCAAACCCTAAAGCACTCCTTTTTGTTTCGTATTCAACCAAGCCTTCGTCGGGTTGCCTATGCTGGCAAAGCTCTGAATGAATTGTGTGTTGCATTGTCCAATCCGTGTGTGTGCAAACAAGCAGACAAGATCATCGTCGGTACATATTTTTGTCGAGTGTGGAACGATATTTTTGGGGGCCATAGATCAGTATGCAGATAGGATGCACATGGATCTGAGTAAACAGGGATCCCATCGAAAGTTTTCACTCTGTACTGTGCAAGATACTATCCACAGAGCAACATGACGTCTTAAATTGATACTCGGACATCCTAAATTAATATTCGGACATCTTAAATTGAAATTCGGACATCCTTAACTGAAAAAGGTATAGAATAACCAACCAACGTATTTTGTATCACACAGACTTAGCAACTATTGCGTACGTTTACTGGGTAAAAACAAGCGAGTGTCTCGGGCGGTCAAAAAGTCGCATACTATAAAAAGCCCATGCATTGGTATCAAATGATATCAAACTGGAGTCCCCTCTACTAATAGAGAACCTGAACAATAAGGGGACCAAAATCGAGGCGAGGTTTGACTTAATAGAGGAGTTCCCACCCCAGCTACTACAGCTGTTTTAAACACAACATAAAAAGATAATCGTAATGTAAATGGAGTTGTAGGACAGATGAACTGCAGCGTAAAATTCGAACTATTAGCCGCATGAGTATGTTATGAAACGGAAGAGTGTTTATGAGAGGGGGAGGGAGGAGACAAGCCGGACATTAAAAGGATACGCGCTCAAATGTTCGAGTGTGGCAGGTTCCGCGTCAAGGCATTGAGCTTGGAATGTGGCGAGACGTTCGGCCAGGGCGTTCCATACATCCAGTTGGTCCAATAACTGCGCCACGAAAAGCGTTGAAGATCGAAGTGAGAATAAAAACGCTTGGTCAGTCTCAAGTGCAGAGACAATGGGAGTATAGGATAACTGCAGTTAAACTTTCCCGAGAGCAGCACTCTCAGACATGATAAGGCTTATCACAGTTCAAGACAGGGCATGAGAACAAAGGGGCATAGTGTTATGTTGCCAAATTGTTGTCTTACTCCGCTGCTTATGTGACTGAAAATAACATTGATCAAGGCAAGAAAAAAGAATGTACCAATGAAATACACAGTGAGCAATGTTCAACCGACCATAGGCTACGGACCAGATGGACGGAGAGAGTGAATATTGCCGTACAACGCCATGTTATTGATTTATCTCCGCGAGATTAGTATTGATCCACGATGATCCTAATTTGGGTCGAATGTGTTGTAAAGTTGTTTGGTTTTGTCCACAGAGTTAGCGAGTGTGCAGTCGGGCTTATCTTGGGACGAATGGCATTGATCTTCGTCCCAACACATGGAAGTACAAGTGGGGCATCAGTCATGATAACCGAGTATAACTATGACAGAGATGACTTGGTTAACATTATCAACTGACTGAGATTTGTACGAGCCTTACTATTAGGGGATTGAAGTACACTGAGTAGATCGATGCCTATCAATATATCTTATGCGGCCAGTCATACTTCATTTGCAACTGGATCGTGTCTAATGTTTATTGATCCCGATGAATGTGCAACTATGTCGGAATATACAAGTTACGTTTAATTTGGCAGCACACGTTTTGCTTTATTTACCTCAGCTTTGTCTAGTCAAAGAACTGATAGACACGATGTAAAGAAAAAAGCCAGTTACAAATCCAAGGTCTATAGGTCTGCATTAAAGAAAACTTATAAATTGAATGAAAGACACAATATCACGCGCACGGTATGTACGCAAAATCCACGTACCCAGAATGGAGTGCATGGAGCAGAACCCGGGATGGAGTTAGTTTGACCGGGCCAACGGCCGACACGACTGTGATGATAGGCATTGGAGCACAACTCGGCCAAATTGGAGAAGAGATCTGCACGCAGTGCAACATACTCGGCTTGAAACCAACGTGTATCAGGACCACCGACGCACTGAAGCGAACCAGGAGGGTCGTCATATGAAAGAAGTTTGAGTTGAAGCAAAGCAGCGAGGTATCAAATGAGGTGGTTCTGTCACACAAGTAATCTACCAAATTGGCACCCGAGGGATGACAAAGCTACTAAACCAATAGGAAAATTGTCATTCTGATTGGAAATTTGATACGAATGAAAACAAACTTCACGGATCAAATAAATCAAGTAACATGTTCACTTTTATATAAGTTGTAATTTCGAAAACACAGCGATGTCGGCACAGGTGAAAATAAGCCGACGTTTCGGTTACCCATGGTGACCGAAACGTCGGCTTATTTTAAAACATGTCACATGGCGCATCGATTTTTTGATACACTCCGAACGTTGTTCGGATCTGACACTTTGAACATGTTCACTTGTTTGGACTTATGAGCTTAGCCGGAGTTGGTCCCATACTAAGAAGACGTGTGAAGGAGTCAAGCCTTGCTAGAGAATCAGCAATCAACGCCCGATAGGCATCATTTCATGTGGTGCTAGTGGTGACGTGAAACCAATCATTAAAACCGATCCGGGTCACGTGGTGCTAAGGCCTGGGACGGGCAACTCGGATCCGAGTCCGCATTAGCTCTATTGTGGTATGAACCAAATTGGCATTGGATGATGCATCAGGTTTTGATCGTCTGATTTTCTGCTACTCGCAGAAATTTGGAACATGATTACCTAAGTATGAGAGAGAACCCACAACGTGATTCCAAACCAGTTTGAAACTTATCCATTATTTCTACAATAATCAACCATGATAGATACCTTTATAAGTAAATCAAAACACAATATCACTCACAAGAATGAACTATCATTATTGAGGGAACCCAACTTATTACCAGGTATTATCATCACTTTACATGATAGATTATATTGTTCTACCAGCCTAGATAATTAACAGATGGCTTTTGACATCAGTAAATTGCCATCGGTGTTCAAACAATGATAGTGAGGTAAAATGACGCATCAATACAGTCCGCCGTCCGTATGTTCTGATTCGCTACATCGTGGTTAAACACACAATCGATTAAGATGGTTTTTCTTGCAGTTGGCGAAATCAGGTTGCCGTAAACTTAGAAAACTCATTTATACGGATCGTAAAAGCGCACAAAAATTAGGCTGACCATCTACCTTACATTTGTACTCATGGAAGCAGAGGGTGGAGTTGGTTGAGATCAGCCCTAATTGGAGGACAAAACATTCTTCTGCTTCTCATTACTCACAATCAGTGTCGTACGAGCTTTCAGAGCGGAATCACATGCACCACGAAGCGCATCGATGAGTTCCAACACCCAAGGAAATGGAGGAGGCCGTTGATTGGGATCGATCGTGTTTTCATCGGCCTCAAGCGTTGTGACATTGCCACGAAGACGACGAGCCACAGAAATGATGGTTGCCTCGGTTCGGCTAAACTCGACCAGGCCCTGAATCCAATAACTGGATCGTTCGGAAAGTGCCTAGAGGATAAGACGAAAAGGTTCAAAAGTTATGAATTACGGGTGGCAGTTGGTCTAGCTGAGGAACTATCTTGTCGCCGGACCGAATGGCTCGGGAACGACAACACTACTTAGTAGTAGTCTAGCGGTGCACGTAAAATAATTGTAAAGGAAGCATCAGAGTTATTTAAAATAAAACGCATCCATAGAACGATCTTCCATCGAATTTAATTTAACTGCAAATTTATGTACATTACGTTTAGAAAATGCGATATGAAAAAACGAATATTTTTGCACCAGAAATTACGCACTATGGTGATAGGTTGGTGAGTGAAACAGATATTGAGCACCCAGCGATCAGTTTGTTTTTACAACCACTAACCAGGTACATTTGTGCGGCGGTTTTGGTTGCTGTCACTTGACTGCATGTGAAGATAAAAGAGCTGAGGGAAGAGTGGAATAATGAAAGCAGTGTCATGGTAGATGCACGAGTGTCCCTATTTGGAACACTCAGTGTCTCTGACCATCGGCTACAATGATCCCGAAGCGCCCATTCGAGAAGGCTACCGTAACCTGCGTGACAGATTTTTCTGGTTAGCGTTTTCATAGCTTCGTGCAAGGCCTCTGTTTGACCCCACTTTACTTTTTCCGCTAACTACAGGCCCCGGCAATCCATTTGGTGACACGCATAACACACGCCCAACCATTTGCTACGGTGCACGACTGTGATCACCGAAAACTGCGCCTAACCTCAGTACTGCTTGTCCGGTTTCCCCAACAAACTGATGTACTGCGGTATTCGAATACCAAAAGTCTATTTTTTTAATAGTCCCGTATCAACCAAATCTAAACCGTATGGAAAAACTGATTGAACTGACGCAGTATACACTCGACCCTTCACCGACAGAACCACAGAAGTATATAGTTGGCCATTGCCAATCGAGCCTTCCGTATACGAGCTAACACTTCATCCGCGATGTGTCCACTGAAGGACATATGGATGTCCAAATAACAAAACCTCTCTACTTGTTTTATTACTTCCCCAGTTAGAGTGAGGTTAGGGGTTGGACAGACCCAGTCCTTTAGCAAAATCTTGCACCTCGAAGGTACAAAACGCGTACCAAACATGGATACACTAGCACTCAAACTATCAAGAATGGCTTGCAACTTACCAGAAGCTTCACTTGGCAGCACTACGTCATCCGCATATTCCAGATCAAACAGTCTGCCAACTGAGAGAAAATCTATAGTGATATCCTCTCACAAGGGCAGGGCTATATCTAACAAAGTTAAATAGAAAAGGAGGAAGATGGCAACCCTGACGAACACCAGTTTCCGTGATAAATATGAGCGAGAAAGTGCCGTACGCTCGAGTTCGGCTTCAGTTATTGGTATGAACGAATCATAATATTCAAATAAAATGTTCGGGAGTACCATTTCGGGAAGGTAGCGCCAGAGCATTGGACGATCGACTGCGTTGAAATTCGCTTTCAGTTTGAGGAAAATAGATACTGTGGGTCAACGAAAGGAATGACTATTCCAGAATTTGGCGAAGGATGAAAATGCGATCTGTATAACCTAAACCAAAACTAAACCAGCCTAGAGAACTGCTATCAATTAGCGGAGTCCTTAAGGACTTCACTTACGCCTAATTTCCTTGAGTTCGTCCTCCTAATTAAACGGCAAAGACTGCGGCTGTTACCGATACCTAAAGCCTTCCCTATCTCTCAGTATTTCGCAACCCACGACTTCTCTTGTTTATTTCCTGGTGCTTTATGGATTTGTGCGCTGTCGTTCTTGGCATCGGGAGGATTGGTACTGAAAGCGTTCACCATGGCAGCTAGGGTCATGGAAATCAATCGCCTCTGCTTGGACCATATACCAGAATCCACAGTTGTTGTGATTGACATTTGGCTCATTGAATCCTTCGGTGGATGGTTGAACTGAAAAGCAGTGAGAGAGCTGCGCTTCGGAGGCTGATTTACAAATGTCGCTTAAATTGATCTGTGGGTATCCCGGAGGCTTTGTTGAGGTTGTTTACCAAGCGCAGCGAAAATCTGACTCGTAATACAGCATGGTCAACATCAATGGGTGTTGATCAATAAGAGCGGCAGACTTGAATGGATACTTGACGGTGGTAGTTAATAACGACGTGGTCGATTTGAATGGTAGACTGCTCATCACCGTGTTTATTTGCTGGAGTAACCTAATCGGGGCTGAGAGTGGATAGCCAAAGGAATCCAGGAGGTACCTAAGCGGTTAAGTTTTATCTGCCATGGGAAACCATCATGTACAGCTCACAAAGTCATCACACCACATCATGGTACAGTCGTGACGACTATCCGGCGATAACTCAATCATAACACGATTCCGTGGGAGCAACAGTAGAAGAGCCAAACCTCAGTCATAGGAATTCATGGTTTGACTACGGAAACAGAAAACTACATCCCTGAGACTTCCAGTGGAGAATCAGATAAAATCTTCACAGCATAGATGTGGATCTGGGTCAGATCATGGTCACCACGGTTGAATGGCACTGACGAGACTTTCAGTCGAGGCCATTAAAAGCAGGTTGACACTAGAGCAAACGATCACCGAAACATGAAGAAGTGAATGTCATTATACTAATCAGATCACACTATTACAACCTTGAGAAGCATCGTCCGTAAATCACTGAACGAAAAAGAGTAAAACACCAAACTGGTTTCCACAATGATTGAAATGGGTTTGGAAAGAGTGATGAAAAAAAACATTAGTTTGACCGTAGCTCACAATAACGGAAATCGGTGCTAAACACTGATTTTTTATCGTTATATAGAGTTGAGTGAACAAACGAGGGAACAATGGTGTAGCAAAAAGAATTTTTATGGATCGCGAATAAACAATAGTGAAGCATTTTTCCCAACACAAAGGCACCTCATGGATAAAACATGCGCTATGAGAGCTGAGACGGACCGCAACGTTTGCTTCTGCTTCCAGTGCAACTAAGATGATACTAGACACATCGAGAATACCAGTTCTCACCTGTGGGCTTAGAGACCCATAGATAGCGGAAGCTAACATGTGTTGACCATAGCGACTGGCTTGTCGAGCCACCTGATAGGCCAACCATGAAGATAGTCTCACGGGTGTCGGAATCCGTGTCACAGATTGGTTATCATTAGCAGTCCGAGAAGCGATGGCCAACAGTAGTGATCGGCCCTCTTTGTCTGTAAGGAACCTATCCGTGCTCAGTTGAAAAACCAAGCCACATATTGCTAAAATTGAACTGTTATCCGTCTGGGAACGATTATCCGTGTCAGCCGCAACGGGTTTGGCCGCGCTCAGGCGTTCCAACAAGACCTCAACACGAACTGGATTATTCGCACCCTGAGAAGGATTTCGGATCAGTTGTGGTAGATGTGTAACCAATGTACTTAGGAACTGACAAAGCAGACCAACACGAGGACCTCCATCTAAAAAGAAAGGAAAACCTGGTAATTAAAGGCGCATTGTACTCACCGACAATACGACTTAGCTAGAGTCAAATTAGGGGATCGGTATGAATGAAGAATTCTATGAAGATGAAGGTTCTAGAAATAGATGCAGACATTGAATAAAATAACTTGAAATATATTCCGGGAGGACAGAAAACGAATATGGACCAGCATCACAGAAACGGGGCTTAGAATGGCGAAATTTAGCTTTGGTTCTTGACATGGTTTCAGTGAACTCCAGCGTAGTGCAGTGAGCACGCTTCTTATTATTATTACTTATCAGCGGCCTGCGAGCAAGCTTGGTGCTAAGGCAAAAACAATAGCAACAGAGAACGGGTGGTTGGGTTATAAAAGGGATTGAAAAGGTGGTCAAACAGATACAATGAATAACAATTTCTTGTTTATTTCACAGTACACTTTTTGATATTTTTGTGTTATACTGTTGTTTTTATAGGGTACGGGATTTCAACATGCACTGTACATCATTTGCACCACTGACCTCTATTCTGGGCCATATATCTCCGCATCTCTAACCAAAGGCAATCCTCATCCATTGCGTCCCAGCCTAGAAGGCGAGCCGCACCAAACGGAGACAATGCTAAGACAAACTTCTTCAAACCTCTACACTATGTCACGGTCTGACCGCCACAACGCTTCTTTCAGTCTTGTCCATCAAGTGCAAAAAAGGGCATAGAGAGGTAAATGATAGGCAGGCATACGCAAAAGGAGACCAAGACGGAGGTGGTGTGGAGCGATTAATTCCGTTACAAAACGATTATCAGTACCCAATACGTGACTAAGAATTTCGTCATTACTCACCTGATTTTCCGACCAGACACGAGCAATGCTTTGGAAGCATCGATCGTGGAATACAAAAAGTCGATTAATATCCTCAACGCGGAAAGGCCAGGTCTCGAAACCGTAAGGCAGAACACTACGAACCGCGACTATGTACACACTTCCCTTGGGGAACAGTCGGATATCATGGCGGCTTTCGGTGATCTCTTCACCAACACTACCTCCAACTGTGATTAAGCTCCCGAGGTATTATCAACCACTTTCAACTGATCACCATAGAGGGTGAGTGCAGGCACAGGCTCCTGCCAGTCTTGAACAAGCACTTCGATGGTGCAAGACACACACCAGACCTGGATACCTTTATCGCCAAGCGGTTCAAAGCGTGTTGGACTGTCTGTGCATCATCATCCAACAAGGTGATGTCATCGAAATACTCTAGGTCAAGAACTCTGTCCCTCCGCCGTTTGCTAGACCATACAAAGCGGCTTGTAGAACAGCCTCTATGGAAAAGTTGAACGGGAATGGGCAGCCTTTTCTAACTCCATTGGAAATGATAAAAAGTGGTGAAAGCTAGTTACAGACCCAAACCCGACCTGAGGTATGACGGTACAACTCCGAAAGCCTCAGTAAGGTCGGAGGTGGGTGTCTCGGGTTGCAGCTGGTCATCCCT